TCAGCGGGTGGATATCAGACAAAGCAGCTGTTACACAACATCGAACACCTGCAGTGAATTCAGCTTGGCTGAAGGCCAAAGTTGTGGAGATGTTTGAGCCTGGAGGACTTATTATGCACATGTTGGGGTACATCTCATGTGAATATATAGGGGCTTTGTTTGTCATTTGTTTTCTAAATCCTCAGTGTTTTTAAAATAAGTTGGACTTAAAATAGTCAGTAATGCGGCCAGTTTCATGCAAGCGCGGTCGACCTTTCACCACCCGTTACACCATAGTCAGTCCGTCGTCACTATGCCTGATTCAATTCACCTGCACACAAGGTTCAATTTCCCTCCCTGTGAACCCCTCATTTCAAAGGAATCGTTTTCCCAACTCAATCAACCATTCTGTATTCAATCATCAAAGTATTCCTTTGCCCTCCAGACATGACGATCCAGTGCTACGTTGCATTAAAGGGTCAAACTAACCCGTGTTCTCTTCATCTGCTGGATCGAGTTAATTAGGGTGCATTTAAATGCTAAAGTTTAAATAGAAATGATTATTATTATTGTAAATTATTATTTATGTATCATTGCTCAAAGAAAAGTAAACAATATTCCTTTAGAATCACTGTGTTAAGTGTTATATAATAATGACAACATCTCTGTAAATGATTTTAAAAACCAACAGATCAAAGAGCAGCCTACAACTTGTCAAAATAATTATCCCTCTCGCTGCTCTTAGTGACTGTTAAATTAAAATAGAAAGAAATATTAGATTTTAAATTATTGTTTCGGCACAAGTATGCATTTCACGTTAGGTTTTCATCTCCGTGCCGTGTGCAAAACGCAGTTAGGGAAGCACAGACACACACCGGTAAGATGAGCCATTAAAAAGCACCATGTGCTACTGAACTTTGAACTTTCAATACTTTCCATGCTGGGGGTTGAATAATGGTAACTGTGTACACACCAAATCCTTATTTGGAAAACTGTTGAGCTGTAGAGCACAGCAGGGGGCCCTTCAGTCTTCATAAGCCAGGGGATAGTTGGCATTCTTAATCAGTTAACACATTGCTTATTAAATTTGTTTGACGAAAAGGCTCATTGAGCACCTTAGTTTGTTTTAGAGTCTGCACATTCCAGACCCCCTGTGCAAATGCTGTATTACAAAATTGAAGGTTATTGGCAGGTTGACAAAGCATGTAACACCAGATGTTAAGAGTTATTTATCCGAAAAAGGAACATTACACGCTGCTTGCACGTGACAAACGTCTGAGCATTCTAATGCCATGAAACTAAGCTGGCTGCCACACGTTAGCAAAAACAATGAGCCACAACACAAAGTTAAGAGCAGATGGTGTCGTGTGGCTAAGCATTTAAAGGAATAGTTCAACATGTTTGCTCTTGTGCTGAGAGTTAGATGAGAAAATTGATATAACTCTCAGGTCTGTCGGCTGGATTGTTTAATCCTCACAGAAATCAAAGGGTTAAAATAATAAATCACTGCTAGGGGCAGTTGCCAGGAAACAGGTAAAGCCTCTAGGAAGTAAGTGAAATAATCCGGTACATAACTCCTAATATCAAGTGGTGTGATTGTGTTGCCTTCGGACAGAGTCAGGTCTGCTGTTTCCTCTTCTTTCCACACGTTGTGTTTGGCTCAATTAGCCGACCGCCGGATCCGGTGTATTTGTTGCTATTGCTGCTATTGACCTCCTCATCTAACTCCGAAATAGAGTTAGCATATTTCCCACAACTGTTCCTTTGAAGATATATTATAACATTGTACTACTGTTAAGTTCACTTCAATAAGAACAAGAAACAGACATTTTAAACATTCAATCCCCACAGACATAGAACTTGATCACATCAATGTTTATTTTGGAGGTCTTTAACCATTTTCTATTCCACTTCTTCTGCCAAAGCCGGAGACTGATTGATTACTGTTTTGTTGGAAGACTAAATATCATGCAAGTGTCCAGTCGTTCTTTAAATGTTGACATTTTACAAAAAATAAACGGTCATGTCTGTTCTTTTTCATGTTGCACACGGTGTCGAAATCTTAACCAGATATCATCAGCAGCCGTTAGATGAGGCCATTTTAGAAGCCTTGCTCAGAAACAACAAAGGAATATCCAAACTATTCAGGATGACGGCTGGTGATCTCACTGTTCGATCTGGATTTTCAAAAAAGTGTTTTTCTGAGGAACCTTAAAGAATCTCAGATACACCGTACTTCTTCCACTGATCCACTTTGGCTCAAAGCATCAAGTCAGGGTCCAGTGGTTTAGTAACTATTTGACCAAATGAAGCTCTTGAGCAGATTTAGACAGGAAGTCCATACACATGCATGCAAGGCCTAAGCCCGTAGCGCATTTCTCTCGCATCTGCCCATCACTCCTCACGCAGGCAAACTCATTATTTCCTGGCAGTTATTGCTTGGAGCTGTCAATCAGGACGTGTTTCATCTGTCAAAAAGCACAACGAAACCACTGCAATGATTGCCTATAAACTTTGCTGCAGTCTCTTCTAAATATGAATGTCTCTCCACCTTCACTACGTTAAGCCCCTTCCGCATCCCTCCACCTCTCCATCCCCGACCAATGTTCATCAGATTAATCAGCTTCATCGAATCAATCATTCTAGCAGCCTCCTCAGCCAACATCACCGCCAGGTTCGGACTCCTCGACGGGATTTATCTTGCTACTGCTCGGGTTGGATGTCCATTGATCACTCCCTGCAGTGTCTGTAGACATCATTCATTAATAATAACGATCAACTCATTTCAATTCACTAGGCCAGTTTGAAGGCAGGTTTTAAACATTGTTGCCAATCACAACTTCTAAGAACTAAAGATGGTGATGTTTTGAAGCCCTTCAGTTTGTTTCTGAAACAGGATATTTAGTATTGATTCTGTGTTATAAAAGCATGTGTATAATAATCAAAAACTGCACTGATTTTAGTTTTATTAGTTTTTAGTTTATATATTACACATTAATCTTCTAATTCACTCAAAACCTCTGTGACCGAACTTCAAATCCCATTCAAAAGCCAAATTTCTCTTTTATCATACATGATTTAAAAGGAAATTGTCCATATTTAGTTACAGAATAAATTCACCTTCAGGCTCACAAGTCAGCCTCTGGCAGGTGAAACGTCTTTGTCAGGCGGCAGCACTGGGTCGTGCTGTGAAGTGACCACAGAGTGTGACAAGGACCTATGGGGCCAGACTGCTCCAGTCTTAATGTGTTAACCTGTGCCTTGTTCCCGTCACATTCCTTTTACACAAGAGTAGAAAGGAGGGCGGCGTGGGGGGGCCTGGCACCAGCATACCTGCCATTTGCCCTCCCATGCTGCTGCCTTAGCCAGATGGACGTCTTCCTGACTGTTAGCGACATGGGTTGAAGGGATTAGACGAAGAATAGACATGTCTGCCGCCTAATGTTAGGGGTCACATCATGTTTGCTGGAGCAAGACAGACACAAATTAGAGGAATTGTTCATGGGTGGAATGGAGTCTCAGCTTCAGAGAGAAATTTCACATTAAAAAAAAAAGAGAATGAATTCTTAATGTGTGACCCGAGGAGGACTGGGGGAGAAGTGAGAGTCCGTTTTGGGATGTTTTACAGCACACGTGGGGAAAATACCATTAAAGAGTGTAAATGCTGTCAGGATGTAGGTTATATTCACTTTAGTGTCCTATTTGAGATGATGTGCTGTCTACGAAATATTTTTATTCTAAATGTTCTGCTTCCAAACCTTCAGATAGCCCTTTAACTGCCTCATTGACTGTCATGGAATTCCACCTCTAAAAGTCTTGGGTCAAATCACAAATGTGGAGACTTTTTTTCTTAGTTAATTTGTAACTTGAGCTACACAAATTGCTTGTACATGTTCAGCAAAGTATTAGATCATATTTCAGTGGTACCTCTGTGTGTTTTATCACAAGTTTGACTCAACATCGAGAATTCACTTTCAAATTCTTTGCAAAGACTCGTCTTTCAGCTTCCAGCATCTTATGCAGTTGTATATATACATATGTATATATTTATCATGCATATGAGAGACAAAAGTTTTCACAGGCTACGTAGCACACACTTGCAACTGTGGCTCACTGGTAGAGACACTTAACCCCAAAAGTGGGTATGAATCATAAGGTAGTTTGATGGTGGCCTCAGATCAGTCACGTCATTCTCAAACAGCCGAAAGTCGTCAAACTCCTCACTAAACACGGAATGATGATCCACCGCAAGCATGTTGGTATGGAGTGTTTCTGTGTGCACGTGCAATTATTAAGGCTAATGTTAGCATTTAGCATGTCAGCTAGACCCATTTCTCAGGCTACGAACCATTGGTGGTGCCTTACAATAATTATAATTCATAATTTGTCCTTGAAATGCTATCAACACAAAGTAAACATTCAGCTGTAACCTGATCATTTATGGAGCCAATGAAAGGTGGTGGGCATGGAGTCCCTGAGCTGGTGCCACTCATGTGATTGATTTTAGAGCATCTTTGTCAGCACTATAAAGTTAACTGTAGATCTTTGCCTTTATAAAAGTGCATTTTACTTTTAGTCACTTATTAAAATAAGCAATTTCTTTTGGTTTTAGAAAAAGGTCATGTTGAGGATATTCAACTATGAAAGACCAACCATGATCAGCCATTGATAAATGGATCTGGTCATAATTCCAGTTTGGTCAGCATCACTCTTTTGTTGAGCGATGTGTAGTTACTGACAAATAGGGAAAATAAACCTGCTTAAGTCAATAAAATCATCCGTCAATACGGAGAGAAATATGGTTCATAGGGACACTAAGTTTTCTATCTTCCTTGAGTGTCACTGCAAAGGCAATAGCTGCCCTATAGTCTTCCTCTGATTAACTTACTTTACCCTGTGGACACGGCGCTTTGCCCTCCTGCGGCTCCACACACACCAGCTCGTTCTCTGCTGCAGCTGCACACCAAGATCGTTCATTTCTCAGCCAGTTTATAACTTTACAGTAACACAAGTGACTGATATTCGTTGGTTCAAACCTTTAATTCATGCCAGACAAGCATTTTCTAGCTATTAATATGCAGAGATTCAGTGGATATTTTCAAGTCTTTAAACCTGCATTGGCCAACTGCTAAACACAACACATCTCAGTTATTTGAGGACTTGAGGTAAAGTGTAGCGGTGTCAAAACAAACACAGAAATGTGCTGTGGGATCATACGATAAGTGAAGAAACCAGCATTCATTATGCTCTAGTGCCCTTGAGCAGAACTTCACTCCTACAAAAACACAGCTATATTGATCCGAAGTCCCACTTTGAGGACCTTGCCTCAATTAGTAATCATGTTATTGCAAAAGAACATTTCACCGGAACACAAATCACATTTTATGCTTTATTTACAAAAGAGAAACTACATTTCAATTTTTGAATCATAAATAAAGTCAAAATATGAGCGCTCTTAAATGTAGAGAACGCTTTGGGGTGATGCTCTAAAGCGCTTAGACCGTAACACAAATGTTTTAATACAAGAATTACCCGATTGCAAAGGGAACTTTTCAGTCATTTTCCAGTGGTACAAACATTCCAGTTCTGAGCTTCCTTTTACAGTCTTCGGCCATTATGAATAAAAGGGCACTTTTTGTGGATATTATTTCCATTCAAACTTAATTATCTCATACATCAGGTATCTGTCTAACGAAGGAGTTATTTCATGAGTCTCCTGTCACTTGAAGTGCAGTTAAACCCACTTTTAAGTCAAGTGTTCAAAACGGCGGCAACATCTGAAGTATCTCCACCTCAGGAGACCTCCTTGTTACCTTTGGCCCAGTAACCCGGCTATTTCTCACAGATCGTAATCCATCCAGTCCAACACAACGTGTAACCGCTCTTTTGAAGATTTGCACAAAATCTCCCACCTCTTCTGTCGTGGCCTCACTAAAAGGAGTCCGTCCGCCTCCTGGTAAACACCGCCGACATGGTCCTCACTATGCCCCTGAACCCCAGAGGTCTCTTTGAGGTCAGCTTGGCGTCCTTCATCCTGTCCACCAGCCCGTGGAACACCGTGCGCACGCTGTGGTAGTCCTCGGCTGCAGACACTTCGTAGAAGTGGCAGTCCGTGTTGCGAGCCAGCAGGCGGCCCTCCTCGCTGAGCACTGTCCGCCTGTGGTGCAGGTCCCTCTTGTTACCCACGATGGCGATGGGCCCCTTGTCTGCGCCCACGTAGTCTTTGGTGGACTTGATGGTCTCAATGAGCCTGCTGACGGAGTTGAAACTGGCCCGGTCGCAGATGCTGTAGACAAGAACATAGCCGTCTGCCCATTGGACCTTCTTCTCAAAGAGTGAGGTCTCCACGGACAAATCCTGCAAAATCAGAGTAAATAAAAATATAAATGAACCCAAACACTTTAGGGTTATTGCATTTTAGGCTACTTTATTCTCTTCAATCATTAAGAAATAAAATCTTTCTTCACCTCAGAATAAGGAGAATCCCAAATATTGAGGGTTAACTCCCTCCCTAAACTGTGACTGTAGATGGATTCTGCAAGACGAAAGTTCAGTTAGTGCAAAGTTATAGTAGGTAGAATACGACGTTGCATCGATGTCAGTAAAAACAGACGTACCAATATCTCCATACTCGCCGATGAATCTCCGAGTCAAAAGACGCACCGTGATCGCTGCAAAAACAACAGTAATTGACAAATGTCAGAATCGGGAAGACGGAGAACGATTCATCCGCTACAGGCGTGTTCTTTTTACCTGACTTCCCGACGCTTTCTGTCCCCATAACGACAATGTTCGCGTCCATTTTCCGCGGGACGGCAGCGTGCCGCGTCGGGGCTGCGGGAGCCTGTCTTATAGGACTCACAGGTGGGCGGGGGCAGAAAACAATGCAGCAATTATTACTGTCACGTGGTGACGCGCACGCGCATAAACTCGCTGCAGGTGAACGGAAGAAGAAAGAAAAAAATAGAAGGACACATGAACGTGGCTGGCTTCAGGACATTAGTATATCAAATAGCTGCACCTCAATTAGCTACCCGATATGCAGCAGTCATGGCCAAGACTTAATATCACATTCACGGCTTTTTTCATGCCACATTTTGCTTATGTATATATATATTTTTTCTTTAAGGTAACATTTTTATTGTGGGGCTTTTACTTGTAAATACGTATTTCTACACCTTCGTATATCTGGTTTAATAAGCAACGCTTCCACCACAACTGATGATATAACACAAGTTTTTCAGTAAGAGGCTGTAAAAATTCAGTCGAACGTTTTACTATGCTTATTCAATTAAAATACCTCATGTGTATCACAATAGAATTAGTTGTTGCTTATTTTGAAGTCAAAGTTTCAATAACAGCCGCAAGAGGGAGCTAGAATTCAATAGTTGTGTCCCACAAACAGATTTCGCGTCAGGAAAGACCAGTAAGCCGTCTAAACACTGATTGGCTGAGCAGATACTGTGTGTGTGTGTGTGTGTGTGTGTGTGTGTGTGTGTGTGTGTGTGTGTGTGTGTGTGTGTGTGTGTGTGTGTGTGTGTGTGTGTGTGTGACGGATAGAGAGAGAGATTGGCCCTTATCCTTTCCAGCTTGACTTGCTCTGCTGTGGGCTAAACTTTCCTTTTTTAATCAGATTTTCCCCAGTAACCTGGCTTCTAATGTGCCAGTAGTACAAATTGTGCCTAGTTATAATATTCTGTGTAAACTACCCTTTAAGATGCAACTTTACTCATTTTTATTTTATTTATCTCCATTTTTGTTATTGCTGTATTGTCACTTATTTCAGCTTCAGCAGGAAAAACCAGATCACAGAAACCATTCATATCTTTTCATATCTCTTAAGTTGTGGAACAGCTTGAGCTTTACCCTCAGAGTTTTTTTACTACTGCAAACAATGCAACGTTCATTGTGTCATAAAATAACGTGATCACTAATTATTTAGCATGTTAGAAATGTCTAAACATATATTTTAAGTAATTGCCCTGTACTCCCGTTTATTGGTGCGTTAACTGTGAATCATAATATAATTTTCACAAAAACATACTGTAATATACATAACCCCAAAAGTGTGGAAAAGGACGTGGCTGTGAGTGTGAATGTCATGTATGATGAAGTTCCAATGTTTATAGTGCTTTGACCTTTTAGCATCGTGACGTGTGTAAGATTCATCACAGGAATCAGAAGCACATTAAGTTCGCTGGCCACCGAAGGTGCCACATTCATGAAAATTCATACTGTGCAGCTGCTGAGTGGTGAGATAGACCTGTGACCAAAGCAGAGGGATTTTTATTCAGTTTTTTTGTATCTGTAAACCTTTTGTGTCTACGATAAAACACAAGAGTTTTAGCTTTAGAGAAAACTATTTTTCACTGGTTGTATTATATTTCCCTCAGCAAGAGGAAGAAAATTGTTCATTCATTTATTCACAGTTAATGTGTCTGTGATGTGATGACGGCACTCACACTTTTGTGTCAGCAAACTAAACTTAAACTTCCTCAAACTGTCAAACTATTTGCATAATGCAATCATCGACATGAAGTGAATCATGCAACATCAAACAAGAGTTTAAAAAGTAGAATTTTAAGGATTTAATTAAGCGAATTGGTCATGTTCCATAATTCATCTACATCCTTCAGTGACTTCAATGTGTAAGAAATATGGGGGTTTAATCATTTCAAAGGACTCTGGTATTACTGTAGGTGTTACCGTTACCATCAAACATATTTATTAATACATTGAAATTCACATTTTTACTATTTATTAGAGGAGCAAAGACACAAACCTCTGCAAAACCCAGCGCTACAGTACTAATGTACTACCAACAAGGTCTTTTTTTTATCAGAAGGTGTTTCCCAGGAAGCTGCTTTGGCTGTGTGCGCTTATGCAAATAAATCCTCTGAGGGATTTATCTTGCTCTCACTGTATGTTTCCCTGTTTGAGGAGTGCAATAAAGGAAAAAACTATCCTCCTTTCATTAAAGACGTCTGTCAGGCCGTATTTAAATTTACAATTCATTTGCAATTCTGTTTGAAATGTGCCACTCTAAAAGGAAAAGGATAAAACTCAACTGAACTGAGGGTGCCAGAGATGTGCAATTAAAGCATTACATCTAAGGGTGTTATACTCTAAGTTGCTGGTAAAATATATTTTTCAGAGCTGAAGAGTTCTTACCTGTATTATTCTGGTTGGAATATCACGGCATGTGTGGATATATATATATATATGTGTGTGTGTGTGTGTGTGTGTGTGTGTGTGTGTACTCCATGCATCATTGCATTCACTTGTCATTACACACAGATATGTTTGCAGCCAATGGACACGTTTATGTCAGACACACACATGAAGCCCAATGTGGTGTTAAAGTGTTTATAGTGGTCTCTGCTCGACTTACAGGTGTGTTATTTTGTCTGTAGCAGAGCAGCTCTTGAAACTTCTCAAATGTGTAAAAGGTTTGACGTTGTGTTTGTAGTCATGCGTTGAAAGTTTAACCTCTTTTTGGTTCTTCTTTGGTCTCCCACAACCGTTAAGGGAAATATTTGGATCTTAAACTGCTAAACGCTCCCCTATGTTCACCAGTTGTTAACTGTTTCTGTCCTGTGAGTCTCTCAGAGAGGTATTGCTAAAAAGGGCTGCTTGCCAAACCATTCAACTGCAAGCCATAAAACCCCCAAAAGAAGCTGAATGACCTTTTAAATGGTTTGTGATGAGGGGAGCTACATGTGTTCATGTGTTCACTACTACAGCGCTTCTACATCACAAGGGGGCCAATAAATCGGTGATGTTAAAGACCAGGTCTCCGGCCATGCTAGCAATTTTGTGATGTTGCACTGAGGCACAATAGTGGCTCAAACGTCTGTTGGATTCATCTTCTGCAAACTATGAATGTCTGTAAAAATGTCATGGAAATAAGAAACTATTTGAGAGATTTTCAGTCTGGACCAAAGTGCTGGACAGAGCGTCCAACACACAGAAAGACGCTGTCTGCGAGCCTAAAAACATCTTTTAATATGTGCACATAATGTGATTTGGAGTGAGGATATCGGCATCACTAAAGGACGCAAAACAGAAATCTATACTTGGTAATCTGCAGACAAACGCCGATTTGCGATTTCAGTCCAAAGAAAAAGGATAATTTCTTCAGAGTTAATCAGTCGCTTGCAGCTGATAAAACTCAAGGCATCCGTCATCAGCAGCTACTTAAACAGTAATGCTCTCATTAGACAGCTGCAATGCCGGACTAGAGAAGAGGGAAGAGCAGGCCATTAGCGTGTCATTTCCCAGACAGGAAGGAAGCTTTCAGGCTCTTACTGTCAGAATTACAGGATGAGGAAAAAGACCAGGGCACACTATCCTCAGTATACAGAGACTGGAATAATTCTTCCTCTCCTCATGCCAGCACTGGCAGCAGAAGACGAGAAAAGAGGCCTCTCCAAAACAATACATAGAGCTCCGGGTAATAAAGAACGTAAAAGCATCAACAATGTGTTTCTGATTGAAAATGTAACACATTTGAGTTTTTCTTCCGAGCAGATATCATCATATTAAAGATGAGATTTAATAGCATGAACATACAGTAATGACACTAATTTGCCAAAAGCCTTAATAAAATACATTTAAAAAATGTATTCCACAGGCAGCTGTCCCACTGCGGCTGAGTTTGTCAAGTGGCCGTTTGTTTACATGTTGCTTTCTAGTTTTGTTACATTTGAGGAGTTGTGTGCTTACTGTGAAAAGTGCTGTCTGAATATTTCATGGTGTAAACACGGTAAGTGGTTTGTAATGGTCTCTGGAGGTGCTTCAGAATTGCACATAATGTCCTCGCCATCTCCCCCATGTTTCCTCTCACTTTGGGCCCCAGGGCGAGAGTGCTGCTCAATGTTTTCTACACCTAAACCACTTTTTGAGAGATATAATCACAGAGAAAACAATGCAAGCTGTTTAGCAAAACATTCACTATATCTTTAACGTCATTTCACCTAAAAGCATGATGGTCAATCACATAAGGCTGTTAGAAGTTGGGAAGAACTAAAATGTTTGAACATTAATTTTATGACTCAACTCAACTTTTCTTTTCGATTTCAATGGAAAACGGTCCTCTGTAATGCGTACGGGGTTGTTCGTAGAAAATAACCTGCGTTATGGTCTGAAATCCCCATAAGCTCAACAGTGTTCTAACATTGGTTTACAGCTTATCAGCTTATCAATTATAATGTTGCTCCGGATGGAGGGTCCGTGCACAGTTCTCGTTTTGGTCTGTTTGGCCTGTATGTTGTATCACATTTCTGAAGCTGCCGCTGCGCCGATACTAGCGGTGCCACTGGCTCCAGGAAAGTCACATGAATATCTTTTGCTGTGCTGAGCAAAATGTGGAAGTGAATTATCTCTTTAGATGCATGAAATCATCTTAACTGGACAGCCCCCAGTGACAGTGAGCCTTTTGGATGTGGAGTCCAATTAGTCAGCTCTTCAACATGTCAAACGTTGACCATCAAAATGTCAGCAAATAAAATCTTTCCCTCAATCAAGATCAGTGAAGTGAAGGGATGGGAGTCTGCTTTGCTGTTACCAAGGGTTGTTTTGTTCTTTTCAAAAAATACATCCCCAATGCGGAGGTACAGTATGTGCCGGTTACTGCTTCTGGTTACTGCTCTATTTAAAATGACTCCACTCATTTTAAACAAAGCTTTGCTTAAACTTCCCCTTAAGTGCAGAATAGCAACGTTTAATTCATGTGTATTTTCCTCCGCACTTGCCAGTTGAAGCTGAACCACAGAAAGAAGGCTTTAATTAAAGGGATTATAGGCCTGTGGTAAGAAGTCACATGACAAAACGTATACTTCTCGCACTAAAAGCTTTTCGCCCTCAACCCTACGCTCTTGAAGGGCC